ACAGGCCACATCGTGCAGCAGCTAATGCTGCAGAATGGCAACTGTGAATTTGGTGCTAATGACTCGGGGTGACAGAGCTCAGAGCAGAAGATGGAAATACGATGTGGGACTAATCGAGCCTGAAGCATTCTCCATTCCTCCCCCGGCTCTTTGACTCACACTCATGTGAGGCCAGCTGGGACTCCATTTTGTGCCTTTTTCTGGTTGCAGGTGCCACGTCACTGCGGAGGCTCCAAGTGCCTGATGGGTACAAATTTAAACCCCCGCCTCCTCCCCTGTCCACCTCCAATAATCCTGACCTTGACAAAAAGAGCATCTGGACGTTCTGACAGAGAGTAGCTTGTAATAACCACCAATCACAGTCTTAATGGTGCAAGTAAAATGTGTTTGAACTGGCGAGTTCAAATGGGCCGGGGTTATGTTTTGTTGTTGTAATGGTGGGGTGTTTCAGACCTGCTACATAATAAATGCCTCAGACATGTTATATAAAGGATTACGAGGCTTGTAATGGAGCTAAAGCACTCAGACTGGCGAAAATAGGGTTTGAAAACAGCGAGTTTAATATCAGTATCATAATTACTGAGATTATTGTGAGATGTTGAGTAACGTATTGTGCTGGGCCTATTGTTTGAAGGTCTCAACAGATTTTAAATGATGTGCTATGATAATCTGATGAAAATGGGTAACAGCGTGTGCATAACACCCAGTTCATGGGTCTTGCATGTAAAGACTAGTTTTCTGTGTTTGCATCACTTTTAACCTTTGCTGTTGAGACCCTGTTATGTTTTTATAATCCACTCTGTTGTAAGAACATGAGGTGCCATTCTTATAATTTGGTTCTTCGCTTGGATTGTTTGAGTACAGTGAACTCATTGCCATGTTCTAGAAAACCCTGAAACTATGCTTTGAGTTGGTACTAAGGAGCTGAAATTGGGCCAATTACACCACCAACCCCATGACCGAACCGATAAGACGAGAAGGATCTGTGCTTTTATGTTGCTTGTGCAGCAGAAATGGACAGGAGTGACACTTAGTGTGGTCTTCTGTAACTGTAGCCCATCTGCTTCAATGTTTCATGTGTTATGAAACCAGAAGAGAGGCTCTTCTGTATACCTCAGGTGTAATGTGTGGTTACTGTTGCCTTCTTCTCACCTCGAAGCACTTTCTTCCTCATTTTGTTGCTTGGTTTAAATGTCAGGAGACTGTCTCGACCATGTCTGCATGCCTCTATGCACCAAGATGCTGCCGCATGATTGGCTAGTTAGATATTTGCATTAATGAGGAGTTGAGCAGTTGAAAAGATTCAACATGACAGCAAATTTCCTAAACGAGTAAAAAAGAAAAGAAAATTGTTATGCCTTTTTAGATCAGAACTATTTTTCTTGATAGAAAAAAACAGACTACAATCTGTTATTTAAGTTTAAGATTTTATTTATAATGTGTTTATTTACTCAGTTTGTCTCCAGGTGGTGTCTGGTGCTTTTGAGGAGGAGGGGTGACACGTTCTCCCTGAGGACATGTAACATTAACTGACAACTCGTCGCTTGTCATCAAAGTTACTCGGTCCTGCATTTAAACCTGGTTGAAATGTGGTTGCAATTCTTTTGCCAGCCAGGCTGCACAAAAAAAACAGGACAGACGCTCAAACCAATTCCATTGAAAAAAGAACATGATAGTTCATTTGACTGCGGGTACGAGATTCTTCACCTTTCATTTGCCCTTGATGTTCCCGCTAATGAAATCCTAAAATAACCTGCCGGCTGCTGAAAAAGTGGGTCAGAGCACCATTGTGACGCGGACTCAGTACAAAGTAGTGCATTGTGGGTATTTACCCCTTCGGTAGAATTGAGGTAGAGACCAGAGACTGCGCACTGGTGGATGCCTATTCTTGTGCTTTTCTCTGCAGTGCCATGGTTTTGCCAGTGGAGCAGTCAGCATCAGTTTATGTCAACATGCAATCATATTTTTATCTCCAGATTTTAACTGGGCATATTTCTGCTCTGCCCGCTTTTATGTCTAATCTTTCTTTACTGCAGGACATCTCGTGGATGAGTTGCCACTAGAGGTAAGAAGCACTAGAGGACAGTGTGTACTGGTGTCTGTGTGGCCAAACCTATCATGCAGACAGCCCTTCGGTGAACATCTTCTCATACTGCAGTTGATTAGATTACATTTGATAGGCTATTAGGACATGTGTGACATCCCATTATTAAGCCAAATATGTGGAGTTGTGGACAAGACAACGTGGACCAATGCTTTAAAAAAGACACCATAAAAAATGCAACGCCAGCGTTTTCTTCTCCTTCAAGCTGTCCATGCTGACAAATCAATCCAACCAATGAACAATCATTAACGAGACCTCTCTTAGCAATTATAAAATGTAGAGGGGGAAACAAAGCCAAGATGCTAATCTCAAACCACAGAACCGCTCCACAATGACGGCCTTTCTGGCAGCACTGCTCGATCAACAAGTCTTGAGGTATTGCTGGTGCGCTCTCCATCTGGCTGCCACTGATAAGAACTTACTGGGAGCTGCTGGATAATAGTCTCGCAAGCTTAAAAGCGCAGAGGGGGGCATAATGTATTCTGAGGGTATCCAGCAGGCTTGGCCTTATAAAGCAAAACCTCATCTTCCCCTTTCTGAATGCATTTTGGGCAAAGACAGCCCCTTCGATGTAGCCAGTGGGTGCTGAAGGGATGGTACTGCGAGGACATCACGCTGACATAGTCATGATGTTGCCTCAAGCTCGTTTATTTCCTGAAGAAACAGGATGGCAGTATTCAGTCACAACATATGCGGAACATCCATGATATATGTCGGTGTTTGTAGGACATTTAAAATGAACTGTTCCTGTGTGGCAGGCCCCCATGGCTCTGCCTCTTTGTACTGAATGGAATATATAAAGCTTGTGTGACCTCTATTTTCAGGGTCAGAGCAACTCCATGTTTTTTTTTTAGTGTGTACCCCTTAGGTGTCCTCAGACAGACAGAGGGGTGAAAAAAATGATGAATGGTTATATGCTGTAGGTTCTTTTAAACTGTTAGCAGTCGGACGTACCGCCCACGGGACATTGGATGGTTTAGGGGACTAATAGGACTGCTAAGGGGTTAATATCTGACCAACTGTGCACACTTGTGTGATAGCAGTTGCACAAACAGTGGACATTTTGTTAATCTGCATTCTCCCACAAAAGTAAAAAGAAAAAACCCCAGAAAAGACTATTTTTTACCCTCTTCTCCATAGAAACTGGTGTTAAGAGGTGATGCTTGTGACGTAGAAGAACACGCGAAATGACAGCTTGAAGGAACCCCAACCCCACCCTTAAATCCTGTTGGTTATTCGTCCAGTGACGCAGGGCAAAGCAGACATCTTTGGGCCAAAAAAGAGAAAAAAATCATTTGAAGGGGACTGGGTACATGCAGACAAACAACTTAGACAGTGAATGCATCACAATATGTTTCAGAGACGAGCTTGGATTTCATCCAAACGCCACACGAATCAGCATCATCTCAGCGGTGGCTGTTTGTCCCCAGATGTATTTCAGCATGAGTGATTCATTTGCAGGTCCTCTGGGTCTTTTGGGGTTTAATGATAAGGAAAAAAATGCGTAGATTATTTTAAAAGAAGATGAAGAAAGCGGAGGAGTGAAATGACTAAAATGCCACTGGCCATTAACCGCTGATCAGAGCTGTCGTATTATCTGGAAACACAGACAGATGTGAGGTTTAGCCGCGAGGCAAATGCGAGTGTCTTTCATGGTGACAGTAGAAAGCCAGTCAGAAAAGGCAATGAAAGAAAGACGTGATGATGTGTAACATACAGCATCTCTGGTATTTCTCTCATAGGATGAGTGTTTGCAGTTTTTCATGGAGGAGGGATTTTTATCAAATTAGCAGCAGCAGATCTTTCCTTCAACTTGACCTTTGTTATGATAACACATGTTAATTTCACAGTGCTGGGTTTTCCAGTCTGTCTGTTTTCACACATTGCATGTTCCCTTATACGTGCCTTTATAGATTCACAGGATAATAAATAAATAAATATATCTGCAGATAATGAAAGGTTTTAAGGACAACTGGCATTCTTGCTATCAGTTGCTGTTATAGTTTTTTTCATATGTGTGAGATCATATCTTGAGAAGACTTGTATATGTACCCATATTTGTTTGGGACTATACAAGTCTAGTAAAGATGGCAGCATTTGCTGACCATGTCCATCCCTTTATGTCCAAAGTGTAGCCATCTTCTGATGAGCAGGACAGCACTTCATGTGAAAAGCCCGGTAATGTCAAAGTGGTTTCCTGAACATGTCACTAAAATAGCCTCAGGCACAGTCACCAGATCTCAGTACTAAAATACTTGAATTTCATAGCTTCTAATGAAGCTCCAATATGCAGTTGGATGGAGAACCAGGCCATATAGGTATATTTTTAAGCCTTTTAATGTTAGGCATTTGTAACAGGTAATATGGGAGTGTAGCTATAAGTTAAATCAGAACTTTTTTCTCTGGATGTCATCCTTTATATAAGTCAAGTCAACTTTTACCACGGCTTAAAGGGATGCTATAACAAAAACTCCCAAAATCACAGACAGAATTGTTGATAGATAGATATGAATACTGAAGCGCAAAGCGGGGCATTTGCATTGCCAAGTTATGCAACTCCTCTCTACCGGTGAACAGGACAAACTCTGTTTTGATGGTGAGTCATGGCTGGGACTGTTCAGCACAGGGTCATGAACCCCTTCTGGTTTTTCTAATGTGGGATGACAGTGGAGTGGGCAAACAGCGTGGTCAAAAGCTGTTTATTGTTCACAGTGTGTACTTTATTTAATGCACTTACTGAGATTCCTGGGCCACAGACTTTTTAACCATGCCTCTGGGGATGGCAGTGTTTTTCTTGCAATTAACTTATTGGTTTATTTGACTTGATTTTTATTTATTTGATTTTTATTTATTTAGTGCTATCATGAAGTCAGCCTTTAACCCTTTAATATATTCTCCCCTTTTTGTTTCACCTTGAAAACCATGGTGAAACAAAAAGGGGAGAATTGAAGTAATTTATGACCACATTATATTCAATATAGGAATACTTTTTAATGGCTGTGTTTCCATACATATACCCTTAGTTTTATTTATTAGAGATATTCTTAAATTTAGTCATTAGAAGTTGAAAATAATATATTTAACACTTGTATTGTCAAAGAAGCATAGATGTATTTCCATGTAGTCATAAATGACTCAACTACAAACTTTAAAGGCCCACACACAAAGTTTATGCTTTTGTTTAGTGAAGTCAGTCACAAAGCACTGTACCAAAACATTTTGGTTATTATGGTTGCTAACAGATTGCCATAATTGCCTGTAAGTTTGTTTGAAAGATCCAGACTAGCGTTTAAACACTAGCCAACACATCTTCGAAACAGTGACCAATCACCTTCAAGGTCAATGATGTGTCTTACTGCTGAAATCTACACATTTTAAAAGATGCAATGGCCTCTTTTTGTGTCACAGTTTCATTACTAATTAGTAAGTAGTTGGCCAGTGTTTGCACACAAGCTGGCATCTTTCATGCACTCTAGGACTGACCACTAGGGTTGCCAAATCCCTGAAAAATAAATAAGGGACACCTCTTGGCCAGGGCCGGGCAACCCAGTTGTCTTCACCCTTCCCAGTGTGGTAGCTCTTTTTTTGTGTGTGAAATTATTTTTTAACCATTTGACTTGAATTTGATTTAAGCAGATGCATATTCTTTGTGATATGACCATATGGGAAACAAATGATCATTTAGCCATTTATTTTTAGCTCAAAATGACAACATTAACACAGTAAAACAGGTCTCTTTCTTAAACAGAAGCCTGTCATGCTTAACTTTTGAGAATATAAGTAAATCTTTCTTTAAAAGAACTCTGTCCTGCTTAACTTAAAATTATATAAATTAATAGAAACAATAGAAAAATATTCTTGTAACAGTGCACATATTAGTGCATTTAGTACAATTGGCTTCAGTTGAGGTATTATTTCAGCTTTTCTAATGCTAATCAGCTGCTCCTGTTTGTAAACCCGCTTGTTCCCATGATTACGCATCATAACTCATCATCATTATTCATCTATGTATTACTTTTATGTATTAGTCATCTATTTGTTGTAATCATCTATCCTTGCAGTTGTTTATTACACAAAATAAATTATATTATCACACTTCTGGCCACATAGCGCTGATATTCACTGCACATGCCCATATTAACCTTAACCAGAGGGTTTAAAAAAAACAAACCAGTGTTTACATACCATATCTGCTTCTGCCGTGGCCTGGTGGACAAGAAATTGGTTAAGGGTTCCCCGAGCTTTCACGCCCCTCATGTTCTTCATGTGCCCACCATTAGAAGCATGCCTATGGAAAAAGTGCGCCGGCACACAGTGCAGTGCGCTTTATAGGTGTTATCGTGCACTTTTCCAGCCAGGTGTTTTCCTTTTCCCATTCCTCCCTGTACTTTTGCAGCCTTTTTTTTCCTTTCTCTGAGCGGAACAAACATTGCTGCTCTAATGCTGGGCTTACACTGTGCGATTTTTGGCCCATTTTGAGCCGATTTTTGAGTCGTGCGACCGATTTGGTGATCGGCCCAATTTTGGCCTTCATCGTGCATCGTGTAGTATACGTGGGGTAACGAGAAGCGATTAACACCTCGAGCAGCTCCCGATCATCAATCGCTCGTGAGGGTGTCACCGCAGCTGCTCACGCGCAAACACGTAAACGTCGGTGAAAAAGACGGAGCAGCACGGCTGTGCAGCGTGTGATCTGGACACAAGCGATGGAGGCACAACTTGTAGAACTTTGGAAAGCTCATCCGAGCCTTTTCGATGTGGCATCACAAAATTATCACGACCACAACAACCGTGAAAATAGTTGGATTTACATTGCTGCTCAATCACAGCTGCCTGATTAATGTTTTTCATTAGAAATTTAGCAAAGTTGATGGTGGTGGTGTGCGTGTCTGTGTGAGTGAAAGACAGAGAGAGCGAGCGACAGATTTTCTGTTATAACCTTCATTTTATGGAGGCACAGTGTGAGCACTCAGGTCGCATCAGAGCATCGGGCGGTATAGTGTGAGACCTGCATCGTGACCTACCAACTTCTAACCCCTGCGAGTCAATCGTGCAGTTTGAAAATCGCACAGTGTATGTCCAGCTTTAGGTGTACTGTCGTCCGAGACTTGCACCGCAGTGTCGGCGTTTGTTTCCCTGTTGGCCATGCTTCTTGTTGTGGTCATCTGTTGTCTTCCGGTATTTTCTCCGTAAGCGACCTTTCCTCGACCAATGAGATGAGCGGTAATCTGAATTGTCATACTCGAATTGTCATAAGTGTGCTGTCAGCTCATTGGTCACAAAGCAGGAGAGGGGCTGGGAATTATGTTTTCCAACAAAGCGTTAATTCCATTGAAAGTTATAGACTACTTTTGATTATCACTGTATTACGGGACAAAGTGCGTCCCTTATTAGCTCAATACGGGACGTGTACTTTTGTTTCGAAATACGGGACGATTCCGTTTTTTAAGGGACGGTTGGCAACCCTACACAGAAGTCTGCTAGCAACCAAGGCAATCGCAAGTATGTTTTTGGTACAACACCAAGAGCCTCAACTGCCAGAAACTAACCATTAACTGGTTGGAGAATGACCATTTTCCCTAGCATAAGTAGGCACCAGTGGGTTTTAGAACAGTCTCTAAGCATGTGTGACAGAAGGCTAAGATAGTAAACAACATGACTTAGCATAAATTAGATAAATTACCATGTTAGCATGCTGAAGTTTAGCATTTGACTCAAAGCACCGAACCAAATATTTGATATCTATCAAACCCTTCCAGTATACACACTGTGGTAAAAGTCTTATACATATTTATAGAAAACTAATAATTCAACATAATTATTAGCTTTCTGTGAATAGCTCGAATTAGCATATATAGAGCTGCAAAGGGTGCTAATGTCTCAAAGAAATACTGTGTCCAATTAAGGAGATCAAAATGAAAATTAAATGTCTGAATATCAAAGGCAGCTATAAATAGACTGTCATTCATCCAATTCACATCCTACAGCCTTCAATAAATCCATTCACGAAGCTCATGAGATACTTAGATTAGCTATATATGTTGAGGTTGTGCTGCACTTCCCCAGTTTTCATGGTGTGCTTGCCTGCATGATAGCAAAAGAAACAAATTTGCAAGTAGAGATTGTCTAATTTCATGTGACTCCTAGCAGTAAAAGTGGCCCAGACTATGCACATTAATGTTATAATGAGCAAGGTTGTCAGGTCAGCTGAACAAAGGTTGACCAAATTGAGCAGCATGCATGTATATTGTAGTAATGATTGCCTAATGATCTTTCTATCAACTGCACAATCCCAATACTCATTTCAGTGCTTCATGATATGTGTGCACCACAGCTGGGTAAGTCACAGCCCAGTGGTTTGCCACAATGGCGGCCAGTCATTGACGCCAGCCATGAGCCTGTCATGCATTCACACCACGTACCCACGGTCACAATAGCCTCATCAGTAGCCTTATTCAATCAGTCTTCACAGACTGAGTCGACTCGGGTGCTGCAGACCCAGCCAGCCATCCACTGATCTGCATGACAGCGGCATCAACAATCAGAGCGTCACTCCTTAAATCTCCTTGAAGTGATCTCTGATTTCCGTTGATTGTGTCCTACCATTATTCCACTCAGCATTTTCAAGTATGTCCATGTGATTAGTACAGCGAATGAAGGGAGAATGGGACACTGTGACACTGTTTCTACTAATTACTTTAGCAGCAGTGCACAAAATAGGTGGACGGAGACATTGGGCTTATGTAGGTCAACGAATAGACAGGAAATTCAAGATATTTACATAAACATTTACATTTCTGTGGCTTCGGAATAGAAGCTTGAAGGATAAAGCAATAAAACACTAAGACACGATGGTGGTGCAACACTCATGGCTACCAATATCATGAGAGCGGTATCGATTCCTACATTCCACATACAAAGAGTCAGACGGGACTTATCAATATCTTTATCAATCAGTCAATCAAACCTAATGAATTCTTGCTTGTCCTTCAGGCCAGCATATCATGAGCAGAGGTTTGAGGCCACACAAATGTTTATGGCTGCTTTTAAAGCAGCATGCTCTAGAAAAGGCATAAAAGGGAGAAATTGAGCCCAATCTTTATGAACATTTATGCTTCAGTTTTCTTTGTAATGTGACGTCAAAGTCACTAAAGTTGTATAATGTTAAAGAAAACTTGCTCTAACCAAACTTTTAAGTGTTTATTGTGATTATCCAATCACTACTATGCTTTGATATACTGCACAATATTCATTATTTCTGCATAACACCAAAATAAATGAATAAATCACAATGCAGTGATATCTGTAATATTCCAGAGTTTAATGAGTGGGTTAGAGCAGACAAAGCTGAATGACTTGCTTGCAAGTGGCACTTCATTTTCAACAACATAATTGTTCTCAACCCTTGCACTGCTCTGAATCCCAACACATTTCACAAATGATCTGCCTGTAAAGGACTGAAGACATGTCTGAAAGCAGCTTCTTTCATTTCAGGTAAGACTCTCTGTTTCTTAAACCGTGTTCCAGAGATTTTTTTCTTTTTGTTGGAAAATTAAGGTAATATTTCTGCTTTTACAAAACATGCAGGACCTAAACTGACTGAGAAAAATCAGTGTCGAATCAAACTAGACGGATGCACATTTCCATACTGTATGCAGAATGGATTATTCAGCCATCACGCAGCCATCTTACGTGTGTCATGAGATGAGCTATCTCGTCAGCGCAGCATCAGTGCGAAAGGATGATGCTTCACGGTGTAGAGACTAGCGACTCAGAGTGCAGCAGAGCAGTATGTAGGTTACCTGTCAGGAAATTAAGCCTATTAACCGCTTATGTAACACGTAACACATTTCACTGTGGGCACGTGGGTTCTCGTCCAATATTTCATATGTGGTATTTGGCAAGGAGGGTTTTTTGTTAAACCGGTGTACTTTGGAGTAAGTTGTTACACAACCTACTTGTGCGTGTGTTGGACATATAATTTTGTAAGAGTGATGTGTTTCAATGTGGGAAAAAATTGTTTAAATCAAAGAACAATCTCATACTTCTAGTTTTCAGTTCTCTGTATGTTTGTTTTCTCAAATGTCAAGCCTTAGATTCAAGAGGACCAATGCTCGTTAGGCTTCATGGGAGGGGGGGGAGTCATCATTAAGCCACTGACACTACAGAGTTTTGTTCGTTTGTAAGAGTGTGAATGGGTGAATGAGAAACACACTGTGAAGCCCTCTATATAAGCAACTTAAGGCTAAATAAGTCCAGACTGTTTCTCATTCCCTTGAAGAAGTCCTATAACTTATCACCAATGGTGATGAGACGGCTTACAGGGAGGAGGTCAGCGCCCTGACCCACTGGTGTCAAGACAACCATCTCACCCTCAACGTCGCAAAGGCAAAGGAGTTGATAGTGGACTTCCGGAGGTGCAGAGAAGTACACACCCCCATCACCATCAACGGCGCTGCTGTGGAGAGAGTGAGCAGCTTCCGGTTCCTTGGTGTACATCTGGCTGAGGATCTTACGTGGTCAGTACACACAAACAAAACAGTGAAGAAGGCGCAGCAGCGCCTCTTCTTTCTCAGGAGACTGAAAAGATTTGGCATGAGCCCCCGCATCCTCAGGACCTCTATCACTGTGCCATTGAGAGCATCCTCACTGGATGCATCACCACCTGGTATGGCAACAGCATCGCCTACAACTGCAAAGCTCTCCAGCGAGTAGTGCGGTGCTCTGAACGGATAATTGGAGGTGAGCTTCCCTCCCTCCAAGACATCTACAGGAAGCGCTGCCTGAGGAAAGCGGGGAGGATCATCAAGGACTCCAGTCACCCCAGCCATAAACTGTTCAGACTACTTCCATCAGGAAGGAGGTTCTGCAGCATCCGGTCCCGTACCAGCAGACTGAGAGACAGCTTCTTCCATCAGGCCATCAGACTGCTGAACACGTCATAGACACCTCAGCTTCACTACTGGAACTTCAACATTATGCACTCCACACTGTACAGTAATGCCACTGTTTTGCACATGTCTCAACTCTGTATATTTTATATATTTTATTTATTGTTTACTCTATTTAATTTGTAAAATATGTGTACACACACACACACACACACGTAGAAAAATATTTAGTATACACATCCAGAAATGCATATACTATTATATATTGTACATATATTTATTAGTTTCAGATGTAGCCATTCTTGTATTTTGCTTGTTTACATTATTGTATTTTGCACAACTCTGTTGCTTGTGAAGCTCGCACACAAGAATTTCACTCACATGTGCTGTACCAATGTACCTGCACATGTGATGTGACAATAAAAGTGATTTGATTTGATTTTGAACCTTGTGTCCCAGGGAAACCTGTATGTGCTCATATGTGAGTGCAAGGTAATGGTGTGGTACTTCCAGCCATTAGGTTATTATGTAACCAAAGTGAGAGCTGTGTTGGTCCATTATATTTTCAGTGTGTGGTGGACTCTGTTTCTATCCCTGCATGCAGGATCTCAAGGTGCCGCTAGGATGTCAACTTTAGGAATCTCAAAATGGCACTTCAGTGTGTGCTTTTGGCACACAGTGACGAATCAGATGGTAATCTTCGCCAAGGTGTTTACATCTGAAAGTGAAGCAGCCAGGTTGAGAGTCAAATCCCCAATTCTAAGGCCAGTATCCTTTTGGATTGCCAGAGGAGTTTATGTCTTGTTCACACATGAAGGTAGAATGTGAGATAAACAGGTTTGTTAGACCAGTGTTAATAGTAATGTGCTCATTTTACTGGTGAAGAAGGCAGCTTTGCCTCCACGAAGCAGAAGACAAAGCAGAAGAAAAGTTGCTGCAGTTTTAAGCAACACATTCAAAAATATCAACTTAATAGTCACAGCATTGCCATATTTTTTTGATCCATTGCCCAGTAACCATGAGTGAAAATGTCATATCTGCAAAACATCCTGCGCTCTGCGTTTTGGTAAGTGAATAGTTTTTGATTGCTGTGGGAACTAATCAAAGTCAGATGATTGTGACAGTAAATGTTGGTATTTTGTGACAGTTTGTGCTTTAGCTTCATGACAATACAGATAATAGTTGCTGAAATATTTTACCTTGTACCTGGTGAACATAAAACAGTGCTGTAAATTAGCTAATATCAGAGGAAATGGGCAAAATTACCAAGTTGTATAAAAGTCACAAGGACAAGCAGTAAATGAAAATCATCCCTGAGTTGTTTTCCTTTGTATGTTTCTGGTGCTAAACTGGTGAAATAGTGAGGACTGGAGCACAGGGAGAGTCTGCACACTGTACTGGACCTTTGCCCGCTCTAATCACGAGGCTATTATTGCCATCAGTGCATCTCCATCCTTGGTTTTGGTTCAGCTTCCAGGAGCCATTTGTGAAGCAGCAGAGCAGGAAATGAGGTTGGTGCACTGCAGTTGCCCAAGCCCGGAGGTTGTGCTTGAGGGACCCACACTTTAAGTCAGCACGTTGATTATTCAGCCCCCCCCCACCCCCCCACCCCCACTTTCCCCCTCCTCCCAAGGCCGGACAGTGTGGGTCATCGGTGGGGGGTACTGGTGCTGAAGACAGAACTAGGATTCATAAAGTGCCGGTAATAGACAGAGACATCACTGCTCGCCAGATTTATTATTGGCCAAAAAGCAGGCGCCGCAAAGCCAAATGATTGATGAGGCTTTGTGACATGGTCAAAGCACTGGACCTACTGTCGTTCTTTTTTTTTTTTTTTTTTTCAAATGAGACTGGAGCCATTTGAAATTAGTTTTTGGAGGGTGTCTTATTTTTCTTTCTCCTTGGAAATTGCCATTTCCTTGTTATGTCTTTTCCAGTCGATCCTACCAAACTTTCTCCGGACTTTTCTATAATCAGAGTATAATTTCAGCCTTTGTGTGTGTGTTAGTTATCAGGGAAATGCCTCCATTATTCATAATGCTGTTTATCTAGGAGTAATTGCTTACAGTTCCCCAAGTCACAAATTTACTCCCTAAAAAAAGAGTCAATAAATGCAAACAATAAAGTAACTGCCTGTGCAAAGAGAAAAGACAAAAGTACAACATTAAAGAGCCTTTATGCATGTGTTCCTGTGAGATAATACCTGAGAAGCTGCATGAATATTTCAGCTTAAGCGTGAGGTTACCTAAATCAGTTAACTGCCTATTACATGTCATCTTGCAGAGTGGGTTGTTTTCCTTTACTGAACGGAAATAACAGTGACCCTAATGGTCACAGCTTGCCTGATGGTTTATGAATTACAGTATCTGTGGAGAGCATAAAGCCTTATTCATTTCAGAAATGAAAGAATCGAAGCATACGTGGAGCTACACAGAGCATGTGTCATGTTAAACAGAAGAAAATCCAGACTTTTATTGTAAGAAACTGTCATACTGAAAGCGTTTGTCTGTATACAAGTGATTGCTAATGCAAGTCTGTGTGATCTTTGACTGACTGTGTCAAATCAGCTGTACAGTACCCAGAATCTTCCAATTAAAGTGGTGAATTGGTTATGATCAATCAGCCAAACATGTGTAATATTCTTCCTGACTCGACTGCACGACACGATGAAGACACGCCTCTGCGTGTTCAGGAGAAAATAATCGCTGTGCCATCTGTTAGTGTGTTTGATAAATTATCAGCTTCACTGCTACAACAATTACTTTCTGACAGTTTTGGCAGAATCAATAATTTACAAAGGAAACTATGCTGCATGAAGTCTCACTTCTCTCCTCTGGACTGTTAATTGTTTTTAAGTGTTTGGTGCACTGACAAATCAAATGTACTATTAATGTAAACAAACGAGATGACTGAAAGGCAAATGATAGCTCGCTTCACACATCATGAGCACTGATAGAGACTGGTTTTGTCAAAATTAAGAAGACAAACAGGTCGTTATAGATTTGTTTTTTACTGGCTTTTCCCTGTGTTGTGAAGCTTTTAAAGAGTCACTCTTAAGCTAAAGAGTGATGAGAGTTTCTTCAGCCATCATGTCTGCAGCTTTACATCTTAAGAGGCTATTAGTGTGTAATGGATGCAACTTTCTAAGAAGACTGTCATGTAGTTCTAAAAGTCATGGCCACTTTATTAGGTGTTTTTTTTCAGCTGCTCGTTAATGGACTGGCAGTTCTTTGGGTTAAAATGGTTTGTTGATGCCAGACGTTAGAGGAAAAGTGCCAAGAGTAACTCGAATAACCAACGTTTACCAAAGTGCATCTCTGAACAAACAGCACATGAAATCTTGAAGCAGCAGAACAGCCACTCCTGTCACCTGACAACAGAAAACTGAGGCTGCAATCACAGGGGCTTGCCAGAATTAGACAACTGAAGACTGGAAAAATCTTCCCTGCTCTGATGGGTCTTGATTTCTGCTGCCACATACAGACTGTAGGGTTAAAATTTGGGTCAAAGTACATGAAAGCATGGCTCTGTACTGCCTTGTATCAATGATTCAGATTGGTCATGGCGCAGATTTTGTAGCAACTACTAGCCCCAGCTCAGCTGAGTCAGTCTTTCCCTCATTCCGAGACCTCTGAAAACGCTTCCCTGATGGCTTTACAGACTCAGTCACTATTTCAATGTCATATTAAATAAACCATTACGTTCATTTGGTAAATTATGGTCATTATTAGAGTCAAGAAGGAAGATCATCCAGAATATCTTGATTGGCTAATGAGGTGTGGTGCCTTGGTTTCTCACACCTCGCTTTCAAAACACGAAGACGGCAACGCTGAAAACATCAAGGTCAGTTTTTCATAATAGGGCTAATCAATAGATGATGTCACGTTAGTCTTTTTTTTTTACAGTCTGTGCAAACAGGGCGCTCACATGCAGTGAAAATAAATATAATCTCTTTCTCAGGTTTTGTTCATCCTTACAATATTTGACTCTCTGACTTCATTCTACGTGTCAAAAACGATAAAGAGTTGGACTTACTGATATAAAATGACTGCATTAAATAAACTTTATGTGAAGCAGGTTTCAGATAACATCACTCGAGCCCTTTGAACTGAACTCTCAGCCGAGCTCTGCTGGCACTGCTGGGACTCTTTCCCCAGCAGCACCCGTGTAATGGGACACTGCTGAATGATGCTGAGAGGAGCACCAGAGCAGCCATGGCCTGTTTCACCTGACTCGCTCCTTGTTGTCGTCCGTATACTCGCCCGTTGTTAGCTTGTCTTCTGCAGGTTAATTTATGACACTATCAATTGATCGGCTGCTGGCTACTGGATGTCCTCATGCCTAAGATAATTACTAAAACCAATTACTTGGGGATAATAACTTTGCGAGTGTTCCTTATTCTTGATGTATAATACATAGCAGAGGTGGCTGGGGCACACAGGAACAACATCCTGCTCTGGTCTGTTGCTGCTGCTGCTGCCATCCACAACTGATACCCAAGCATGTTAATGCACTTAGGAAAGAGTAAGTATGATACTGACTTTTATACTGGCTGATCCAGCTTCTTGACTTACCTAAACATGTTTTCAGCTTTGACTGCAAACATAAACACGTCAAGGCTGCTTCATTTGGATTTCTTATTTGCAAACTTTGGGAGTGGCAAAGTAGTAGCCCAGTGCAGGCTGTATGGATACCGTGTGTGTGTACGCGTGCATATGTGAAAGTGTAATCTATGCTTTATCCTTACCATCCATGTGTCTCTGTTCGCTTTGTGCCTTTTCACTGCAAGCCATCAAAGGTCAGTAAAGTTAGTTCACTTGTAATAATTTGGCAACATTTAAGTCTGTAAAGATTGTAAAGTGTAACTTATGTTTACTATGTGGAGAAGTTAAGCTGCTACAGCTGTCGATGAACTGTTTGCAAGATGTGACATGCCTTATTGTTTGTACTTTTATATTATTTCTAATAAATTCTGTGGCTATGCTTTCAAGTTTCGTCTATTCACATGGGCTTATTTGACTTGATATTATGAGGATCTTTTTCTGTGTCTTTCCAGTCGTAGCCACTTGCTTCAGAGAATTCTTTTACCAAGCTCATGTTGTCTGAGTGGGAGCGCTGTGTTTTTTGACTTTGATGAGCCCAGTGAGGCAGATTATCTCAGCTTGTAGACGGGCAAACTTCATGTGCCAAGGTTAAGCTGAAACGTTAACCTATTCATCAGGGTTACAGAGTAGCCTCAAGTGGCCAGACGTCCTGATCAGACGCCACTCAGATCAAGGAGTGTGCCTTCACTTGACTTAAAAAAAACCCACACATTTATATTTAATTTTCACATAAACAAGACACAAAACAACAGCAACAAAACTGTATTATTTCTATCAAATAATAGCAAAGCAGTAAATACATGCTCAGTTACACATCTGCATTTCATTATTTGTGCACACAGACTATGGTTAATGCCACAACCTTTAACAGCTAATGAAAAGTGACAGGCAGCCAGTACTCTGGGGCACACAAGCTTAAATAACCACATGCATGCAGTCACAAACTCACGCACACTGCCTCCTCTAAAGGGTTACTTCCTTGCAGCTTGTGATCCTGTTGGAGGTGTCCACTGTGAGTCCTTAGGTTTCGCCCTCCCCTCTCATGTGTCGCAGCATGTTGACACACACAGGCAATGATGTATTATTGAGGATGTCTGTGGATTACTTGGGCAATGTACATTACAAGTGCAATTACCTACACAAGGATACATGTATAGGAGTCTAATTGCTCTGCATGGGCAATGGCTGATGATATCTCTGCAAAATAATGTGCCTGTCTGCCAGTTTTATCTTGCTGTGTGCAGGAATCTGTACAATTTAAATCATCTTAACTAGTTCAGATAAAATAACTGCAGGAGCTGAGTATAAGATGGCACCCTGGGTGGCAGTCTTCTCTCACCGCAAAATAAAGTGAAAAATGATAATAAAAAGAAGAAGAAGGCTTTTTGCATCACTGTGCACTTCCACTCGAGCTAGTTTTCTTTTGTGTGTGAATGGGCATCTATATGGGGAAAGGCTCATGCTGCAACAGAGACTAATTCCTGCTAATCCCACTGTATCTCCAATCTCTCAGAGCTAGTTTCCAATGGCAGCCCTGCAGCAGGGGAATTGCTAGTGAGATTAGCTTTCGTTAGCTCCTCCTCTGTTTGTGGTACTCACTGCCGGGCCAGGCTGGCCTGCCACTGCTAACCTTTTGCACAGAAATGGATTAATTGCTTTGTTTTCCCCCCAAAAATGTGCTGCATTGATTTCGGAGAATAATGTAAGTTTGATTTAGAGAGTTGTGCTTTTGTCTTTGTTTTAGCTTTGTGGATGTGGTTCTTTGAGTTATGGGAACAAATCTGTGATGACAGACAGACACCTTTGAAGGATACACGAAAGACTCTCTTGAGATTTGGCTGTAATTGCATTTCATGTAATTATCTGATTGATCTGCAGAACCTGAACTTTCTTCTGCATATTTCCATGCAAAGACAACATATGGGTTTATTTACTAATAGCTGTTTGCTTTTTAAAATATATGTACATATTATCACCTTGCCATTTTGGATGTATCTTGCTGAATATCTTGATTAATTTGGTGTCGAATGATATCAGCCTTAAAAATTGGGAATGTGTTTGATTGGACCTGAAAGTAGGAAGCACACCCCTCTGAGTGTTTACAGAAAAGCTGTGACTTAAAGCTAAGACATCCCATTTATCTGTAACAGGACACTGAAGAGTCTTAATGAAGGCAAGCACAGTTGTTGCCTTTATTTTTATGCATTGTTATGTTATAAAGCTTCAATCTGCTGAAAATCAAAGCTATTTCCTCTAGATGTAATATTTACTGCAGATATAGATGGGCGTTAAATCCCCTAAAGACCCAATTTAACCCCCCATCTATATTGCATCCCCGGATTATCCTCAAGTAAAACACTTCCAGTTTAATTCCCAAACAAACCGTGAACTTTGAACACTCATCTGATTAAGCTTCAGGTGTTGAATTTAGAATCTGAAGGAAAAGATCTACTGTACATTATGTAGGCTACTTGCACAATAGCTTTAAATCCCCTTCATCTGAGCTCTTTACTAATGTGTTTACTCAGTTCAGACATGGATTAATAACAGTATAGCTGCACTAACTGGTGTATAATATAGGTCACACACAGCACAATGCCCCTTCTCTATCACTGACCCACATGTACATGTGTTTTTCCCATTCTGCAGGAGATATCTCTTAAAGATGTTTCCACGATCAGGGAAATCGATTGTCTTTGACAACTTTCCAGATCCGACCGACACCTGGGAAATCATCGAGACAATTGGTAAAGGGACCTATGGAAAAGTCTATAAGGTGCTTAATAAAATAGATGGAAGTAAAGCAGCTGTGAAGATACTGGATCCGATCCATGTAAGTTGAGTTTGTTACATAGTAAGTACATTGTGAAAGAGCTTTAAGACTTCTTCAATATTTTTTATGACTGAAACAAAGAAAGTAACGGCTACAATTTGGAATTGTAATATGTTTTTGTAATTTGTTTCTGTAAGTACTGGATCATATCACTTAATCTTTGAATTCAGGTGTTTTCAGGAATCCAGCGCTTAGAATAGGTCATTCTATAGAGTTCACTGAATTTCAGTATGGCACTGCAACGGATGTCGCCATTGCAACAGGTGCATTTGTGAAATTTTTCCCTCCTACATATTCCACGTATTTCACATCTGACATTTAGAAAACACAGTGATTCAGCCACAAAATGTCAGACCAAGAACTTATAGAGCGAAACTGATCAGTGCCAAGTGCACAGTGTGTAAAAATTACCAAAACTCTGATGACTCACTGACCAGCTACAGATGAACCAGCAACAGTGTCATGGACAGTCAAAGCTCATTGATGTACACAGGGAGCAAAGGCTGACCATTGGGTCTGATCCAACAGATGAGCAGATGAGAGTAGTTCAAATCGGCAAAAATGCAATGCTGGTTGTGATAGAAAGGTGTCAGAATACACAGTGCATTATAGTTTGTTGCTTATGGGGCTATAGACCAGTTACCGTGCCCATGCTGAGGCTTGTTTGCCACCAAAAGCGCCAACAAGATGCCAACAATCGACCATCTGTGGATTGTGCTGGTCAAACAAGTGTGAGGCCCCAACTACAGCAAAAGGGGGACCAACACAATTTTAAGCATAATGTCATGTTAATGCCTGATTAGTATATATATCTATACATATTGTTTTGCTCTTAGTGATGGCACAAGAAGTACACGTTAATGTCTTGTGACATGGCAAGTGTTTAATTTACATCATCGATTTCTGGGTGTTTTTACTTTCCTACATCTTTACTTTAGTTTTAGTTGATTGTTAGTGTAGTTTTCCCTGTTGTATGACACCTTAAATGTGATCGAATTTCATCTTTTTAAACTGAAAATGTGTATTTTATATGTTTCATTATTTTTTACCTTTTTTTTAGAGCTTGATATCTGGAACAGGGAGTACACATGATCTTCCAAGGTTAAAAGTCATGATTTTTCATTACATTTCACCTGAAGTGTGCCCATAGGCTATGTATACCAGCTGGTATTTAAAAGGAAATCTACACTCAACAAAAATATAAACGCAACACCTTTGTTACTGCTCCCATTCCCCATGGGATGGACGTAGAGACCTAAAATTCATTCCAGATACACAATATAACCATCCCTCCCAAACAGTGGTCACAAATCAGTCCAAATGTGTGGTAGTGGGCACATCTGCTATATTGAGATAATCCATCCCACCTCACAGGTGTGCCACATCAGGATGCTGATCTGACATCATGAGTAGTGCACAGGTGTACCTCAGACTGCCCACAACAAAAGGCCACCCTGGAATGTGCAGTTTTTTGCGCTATTGGGGGTCTGGGGACCCAGAACCGGTCAGTATCTGGTGTGACCACCATTTGCCTCATGCAGTGCAACACATCGTCGCATGGAGTCTATCAGATTGTCAATTGTGGCCTGTGGAATGTTGGTCCACTCCACTTCAATGGCTGTGCGAGGTTGTTGGATATTCGTGGGAACTGGTACACGCTGTCGTATACGCCGGTCAAGCACATCCCGAACATGCTCAATGGGTGACATGTCCGGTGAGTATGCTGGCCATGCAAGAACTGGGACATTCTCAGCTGCCATCTGCCCTGAACAATGTGAACCATGATTCATCCGTGAAGCGCACACCTCTCCAACGTGCCAGACGCCATCGAATGTGAGCATTTGCCCACACAAGTCTGTTACGGCGACGAGCTGGAGTCAGGTCAAGACCCCGATGAGGACGACGGGCATGCAGTTGAGCGTCCCTGAGACGGTTTCTGACAGTTTGTGCAGAAATTGTTTGGTTGTGCAAACCAATTGTTCCAGCAGCTGTCTGGGTGGCTGGTCTCAGACGATCTTGGAGGTGAACCTGCTGGATGTGGAGGTCCTGGGCTGGTGTGGTTACACGAGGTCTGCGGTTGTGAGGCCGGTTGGATGTGCTGCCATATTCTCTGAAACGCCTGTGGAGACGGCTTATGGTTGAGAAATGAACATTCAATGCACGGGCGACAGATCTGGTTGACATTCCTGCTGTCAGCATGCCAATTGCACGCTCCCTCATTGCTTGTGGCATCTGTGGCATTTTGCTGTGAGACAAAACTGCACATTCCAGGGTGGCCTTTTGTTGTGGGCAGTCTGAGGTACACCTGTGCACTACTCATGATGTCAGATCAGCATCCTGATGTGGCACACCTGTGAGGTGGGATGGATTATCTCAATATAGCAGATGTGCCCACTACCACACATTTGGACTGATTTGTGACCACTGTTTGGGAGGGATGGTTATATTGTGTATCTGGAATGAATTTTAGGTCTCTACGTCCATCCCATGGGGAATGGGAGCAGTAACAAAGGTGTTGCGTTTATATTTTTGTTGAGTGTAAATAGCTGGGTAGAAAACTTACTGAGAAGTAAACAGTAAAGGCCCTGCCATCTCACAAAGAAAGAAAAACCTTTATGATGTGAAAAACCTCTGGCTTTGCAAGCACAAAAAATCAAATCATCAGTGTAGTCTGACTCATTAGCTCTGCCCTCGGTAAGATAAACATCACTCTGCTCTGCTTTGTTCTCAGCCTGTGAAGAGAATAAAGCCAAGCAGGTTGGAAACACCTCAAGCGAGATTCTTGTAACTATTCTTCCCATCTACAACCATCAGCAAATTATCTCAGCAAATTGCCTCTGATGATATCAGTTTAGCACTCTGATCATTTTGGACTTGCGTTGCTTGTGGGGTGCTTTAGTACAGAGCCAAAACACAAATTTGGCATTACAGAGGAAGTGTGTGAAGACGGAGAAGAAAAAAAAGAAACGGACTAAAGAGAAGAAGACTGTCATGCTGCAGGGAAACATGATGTTAAACATGACACTGTGGGACTGATCTGTCCTATAGAGTCAACATTTTTTATAATTACTAGATTTACCATTTATAGAAGATTACCTCAGATGTCTTACATTTCTGAGCATTACCATATTTGAGTAGTCTGTTTGTTACCATTCTTCATCTATTGTGTTGTCTATTTTGAGTCTACGTTATAGTGCATGGTTTATTTAGAGGAATTTAATGAGCAGCAGGGTTCTTCTATTAAACACACTCTTCAAGTCTCATTGATTTGGGAGGGGATTTGTTTCTAATTATGAAGAAACGGAAAGTGCATCATTACCATAATCTTAATCACTGCACTCATTTCGTTCACATATAGAAGATGCAGTACAGATTTTTTAAATACTGTATGTTATGTTTAGTTCAAAGCTTTATCTTTTTCTTTTTACTTTTTTTGATGAAAAGCGATTTGTAGTCCAGTAATTTTCTGTACTTTTGCTTTCTACCTTAAGCTACATTAAATGTATAAAGCAAAGTCATTTTACATTGTGGGCCACATATAGCCACTTTGATCTTAAGTGGCCTGGATCTTTGAAATTCCCATTTCTGTCAGAAATGTAAAGAAAAGTTTAACTGCACATTTAGTCCCTAAGAAATCTTCATATATCAAAGGTGCAATTTCAACAAAGTGTTAAGTAGTTTGTTGCCCTGTCTTTGTTGTAATTATAAAACTATTTTTTTTTGTTTTTTTACAGACAAAACATGAAAAAAATGTAATTACTTTGGTTTAGCATGAACGTAGGAAGTCTAAAAAATTATGCCCTCCTTCACATTTTCCAAAACCATCCATTGGAATTAGAGTCTTTGCCGTGCCCATTTTGACCCCCAAACCATATGTTTGAAATCAAAAATCTGGTTTCAGGACTCTGTACGAGGGGTGTCAGACTTCCGATGCCACCAACTACAATAGGATTCTGCTCAGTACTATTTATCAGTACTACTCAGTACTACTACTGCTACTGTTTATCACTTGTGATATAGTACTAAATACTGTACAAGATTAAATGTCCGCCAGCACGATTTGCATTATATGCTAAAAGTTCCCGGTCTTTAGGCTTTAATAACCGTGCAACATTCAGAAGAAGAGTATACGATGACTGCTGTATTTAACATGTCCTGGATATGTCCTTTCGCCCACATTAAATTACAGAATAAATGGTGGAGACTTTGCATAGTGTCCGAAGGTCGGTCGCTCTGTTTTTCTTTGATCAAATCAGGCAACCGATGACGTTCTTGATATTTAAAAAGGTTGCAAAGCAGTTAAATGAGGAGCTGCAGATACATGTCTTAGAAGTCACAGGACAAAGAAATGAATCATTCTCAAAGTCTGGTTTATGGACATTGCATTGGCTGTGTATCTGTGATATCACCACAACTCTGTCACTGTTCTCTTGAATGAAGATAGTTGAGAGTATCCTCCTCATCACTACTGGTGTAGGAATAGAAAAAGTTGAGAGAGAAAGCAAATAAATTACAGTTTTCTCCACAAAGTCTAGAAGGTAAATAAATGAAAGAAAAATGTAAGCAATAATAACAAAGTATCCATTCAGCTGATCTTTATATTGTTATTTTCTTGGTTAGAGTTAAACTAAGAGGACCGAGAAGCAGGATCTAGTGGATGGTTAGCTCTGCTTAGCATAAACACTGTAACAAGCAATAAATAACTTTGTAAATGTAACAACTTGTCAATCAGCCAATCCAATCCAACTTTATTTATAGATCACTTCAAAAACAACATGGCTTGTTGTTTTTGAAGTAAAAAACAGTGATAAAAGTATACATTATGTAACACTTTCATACACTAGTTATTAATGAGCATGACTGTTACTGAGCCACTTACATGTCAGCTGATATTTGATATATTTATTGTACTAAATTCATTTTAATTTGGTTTTTGCTTTTTGAATTTTAGATATTTTACTCTTATGTATTTCTTGTCATTTCTTAATATTTGTATTTAAACATAAAATTATTTTAATATACAATTTTTGTTCTTTTTACAAATTACTTTTTACTTTAAAGTAAGATTGTATGTTATTTTATTAAGCTAAAATGATTCAAGCTATTAATTGGGTGTGTTTGGTCTTATTTTTAGCTTCTGTAACAAAAAAATTCCCCAACATTGGGATTATTAAAAAAGTAATAGCTTTTATCTTATGTGAAGTAACCCTCTCCAGTTCATAATTTCAAATTTTTCTACCAGTATGAAAATGGTATTAATATTATTTAACTCATGCCTAGACAGTAGTCCAGGTAGTAATTAGTATTACCTCTATTACTCTGTTATTTGGCATTAAACATTCAAAGATAAAATATGGCTGGTAAAAAAAATAGCTAAAGATGAGATTGTAGGTGTTAAAATGTGTGTGTCGTACACACTTAGCTGATGTTTGCTCTTGTGTTTCAGGATATCGATGAGGAAATTGAAGCTGAATACAACATCCTCAAAGCTCTTTCTGACCATGCCAATGTGGTCAAGTTTTACGGGATGTATTACAAGAAGGACATCAAATGTGGGGATCAGCTGTGGCTCGTACTAGAGGTAAGAGCACAACATTGTCTGTGTTTTTGTCACAGGCAGATTTGACTTGGATCTTAGAGAGCATATACTGTAGGTGCAAAAGCCTTATTATACTACAAACAGGAAGTCTTGCCAGGTATGTACAGCGGTCAGGGATTATGTAACAGTTTTAGCCACAATGGGCAGTCTAGGAGTTTACTTATAGAGCACCTGGGGGATTTGGTCGCAGGCCAGTTAGTACCAGGAGGGGGGGAGGTTAGATTGCGTGTTGTGAGCGCCCTGCTGAGAGCAGCACAGCAGGGATTTCTGTTAACAGGAGCTGTCTTCATGTATTAGTTTATACACCCTCTGTATAAAGTTGGAGCACAGGTTGAAATGTTCCTTGTTGTAGTTGATTTCTGTTGTAGAACTGAAGATACAACACACTGAAATTGCCTTTTTTGAATTAGCCTTTCCTTGTTTGCACCTGCTGGTGCACGAGAAAAGCCAGATGCAGCCGTGATATTTTCATGAAGGTTCAAGGAGACCTTGCTACTGCTGCTGCTTTCAGTACTCCTCAAAAATCCTTCCTGTCAGCTCCCCCCGTTCTCCATCTTTCTCCTTTTTTCATTTTCTGCTGTAGCCCTTTAGAAATGTCAAGCTCCAGACAAACATGTAATGGAGGTCAACCTCAGAGGAGAGAAAGTGTTTGTGGGGTCGAACACTGTGTCAGATATTGGTTTTCTTTGCCTTTTGGCAGTCGGACCATGTAATTTGTGTTCCTGCTTTGATAGAGAGCAGTACAAACCTGGAGATGTCTGGAAAACACTGTCAGCAATCTCAAGGAGGTTTGATAAGAAATGAAACAGCCATCGTCCAAAATGGTTAGATATGTTTTTTTGTGTGTGTGTGTGTGTGTGTGTGTGTGTGTGTGTGTGTGTGTGTGTGTGTGTGTGTGTGTGTGTGTGGTGTTTCTGTCGAATGGACTATAATGTAATTTGTCTCAAGGGATGGAAATGTTGGTCTGCAGGTTAATTAATCACTTTTTTTTCTGAAATATCCCTTAAATACACATGCATGAGCCCCAGAGAGCATTTCTTGCTGCCATTGGTAAACCACTGTTTTCTGTATGACTTTGACAATTTATGTCACTGGGAGGAGACTTACGGATAGGCGAGGAGAAGCCTTCAGAGCTGGCTGAAGTAGTCCTCCGGTGATTAAGTCAAAAGTCTGGCTGTACTTCACAGCAAAAGGTGCAAACTCAGCAGCCTGCAACAAGTGCTTTAAGGTGATACTGTGCAAAGGAGGTAACACCTCGAATCTGATGAAACACCTGGCGACGCATAGCGTTTTTTTAAAAGCCGAGAAATGCGCCGTATTTGATAGCTTGCTGCGAGACCTCACACCGAGCACATCTACTGCGGGTGTGGTGCCTGTTATCGGTCCCGGAGTTAGCAACATCCCCCAAAAACCCGAAGAGGAGAGTCCTGGCCCCTAGCCCTGCCAGTGTAGCAGAAATGATGATGATCATGATAGCAGCAGCAGCCGTTCTTCTCTGCGGGAGTAGCTTAATGTTGTTCGTGTGTGTCTGTGAAGGTTCTCAGTCATCCAGGTCATCGTAGTCAAAGGAGCTTGCAAAGAAAAGCGTCTGGACTTCTGGACTTCTTTTCGTTGTTCGTGTGTAATTTACGTTGAGTAGGCTAACCACGTTATTAAATTAATGCATGTAAGGTGAACTAGCAAACACCGTTCGTAGTTACATGCAGCTGTCTTCTTGTTTGATGGCAGATACTCCCTTCACCCTGGCCAAAAAGGCTAAAATGACCAAAGAAAAAGTGGAAAACTTAAACATGAGAGGTTTTTGGACAAAGTTTGTGTTTTTTCCATTGTTTAAGCACTGCTTCCAGCCAAGAGTGATACCATATATCCCCTATAGCTGCAGAAAAGGCTAACATTGTTATCTTTTTACAAAAAAACAGCTAAACATGAGAGGTTTTTGGACAAAGTTTGTGTTCTTCATTCTTTAAGCACCGGTTCGAGCACCGTTTAAGCACCGGCACCGTTTCAAAAGTACCGGTTTGGGACTGGAATTGGATAAAACCTAAACGATACCCATCCCTAGGTGTACCTATTTCACATTTGGATTGGATACTAGACTGGATATTGGTGACAACAGGCCAATCGATTCACTTCAGTATTCAGTATTCACTACACTGTGTATTAGCAGCAACTCGGGATTTTATTTCAACAGCATGCTGTGATTAAATTAGCTGAGATGACTGAACAGCTATATTGACGTCACTGTCAGACTTAACTATGACAAGAACATGTTGTCACCAACTCCATTAATATTATTTAAGTGTTTTTGTGTGAGGAGGAGTAAAAGGAGGTGCACTCAGACTGAGAGTAGGACAAAATAGGCCAGCTAGGCTCTAAATAACAGCAGTATGCAGCAGCCTGTGACAATCACACTTCACATGAGATGATATGAGACCAGTGTAGATAAATTTAGTAAATAATATAAATGCAATTTTAAAATCTTTATGTATTTTTGTGCTGTTGTTGCTTATCATCTTACTAATAATTTCTAGTCCTAGTTAGTGATATTATTGGTGTATCTGTTTATTTGTTACCTTTTACTTTTTACGAAGTTAAGAAAGCATTATTTAAATCGAGCCTGATGTTGAATATAAAGAATGATTTTCAATCTCTTTTTCATGCTTATATTTTTTTTTTTTTACTGATGTTGGATATCTCAGTGGCTCCATGCTGTGGTATTTTATACATTTGCCTAACAAACAAAAGCCCCCCCCGGGTCATTTCTGTGAAAAGATTTTTTAAAAGGTTTAGATCTAAATGTGCTGAAATAGTTGATGTTGATACTTAGCTTGAAACAAAACCACGTACAAGCTTGTGGCATAAATAAATGAACCTCTTAGTACCACTGTTTACCCAACAAAAAATTATGCTAACCTTTAACCAAAAGCCCCATTTCCCCAGGCCATCTACAACCAGTTTCCCTTCCTAAACATCCAAACAAAGTCTTAAGGCTAAAAAAAAAAAACAAATACAAAAGCTAAATGAAGACCGACAGGATTTCCATTTAAGATACTCATCCTGTTCTTCTATTACGCTACCTTTTTTTCCACTGTTAGGAGATTATTGTTTCACACTGAACATTTTTCCATTGTCAGGTACAGCAGTGCTAGAACAGAGTGTCCATATTTCTGTAATCCAAGCTCAGTGGGCTTCACATCAACAGCAGCACTGTTATGCTAGCCCAATAGATAGTTTTCACCTCTCCATCTTGAGTTTCCTTCCCCTTTCATCAATCTCCTTTCTCCTGACCTTTGCAGAGGACCCTGCATTTACTTCTCTCAGATATCAAGATGCTGACAGCACCATCCTTTTGAAGGAAAACAAAGAAAGTGCTATTGTTTTTTTAAGATAGTTTCATGTGAGTGTTCAGTGAAATTATCTACCAGGGCTTAATTCCTATGAGTAAAACTATAAATCTGCTGTGATCTTTGTTTATTCCCCGTGGTTACATATCCACTCAAAATTTCCCTTGCAAATCTGCAACCAGCAGTCCAAATCTGGTGGCTAATCCTGAGGCTGAAATCACTGCCTGACAGTTTAATAAGTGGCTGTGTTGTGCGTGTGTGTTTTTGTGCTCTGAAGTAGATGCACATGGGGTTTTAGCAGTAAAAAAGACAGGAAAGCAGGGAGTGAGGTGGTCATTCACCATGGTTACTGGCCCTCCTTTCTAAACTGTAATTTTCCATCCTTTAGCTCTGCTGAGAGGAGCCTTTCTCTGCCCTGCACTGACAGCAGACCGCTCATTATGAGCAGAATTCATACAAATTGCATCCGCTACTTTGTTAGCCCTTCATTGGGGTCTACGAGCTTTTGGCTTTGCCTCTGTAGTGTTCTCCTTTATCACAGCAGATGTGGGCAGAGATGAGCATGCTTTCATGTATAAAGGCCTAATATTGCTACCAGAGAGCTTGAAAATACTTCAAAGAAAGTGACGCTAGAGCGACTTTTATTCTCTGACTGGAAATAAGGAGCTAATTTAGATGTGCATGTCATTTGTGAGACTTTAAAAGGTCATTTGTTTTAAATGTTCACCATCTTCTATCGAGTTAAAATAAAAAATGTTGGAGTTTTAAATCAAAATTGCATCACTCTGGGGATGTGCTTTTTAAAAAAAAAATTGGGATTGCTAAAAAAATGTCATTCGTCATTCATCTATGTGTGCAAATTAATTAAATTAAACCCCGGCCGCTAAAGTGAGCAGCTCAGAGAAGAAGCAGAAAAAGATAACTCAATCTATTGAAGCGCAAACCTTTTCACCATCATTTTCTATCACAGAGGAAATGAACAGCAAAAGCAAGCAGCAGTGGTAGGAGAAATTGGCTTATGAAGATTCTTTGTCAGGACCAAAATTGCATAAAGAGTCTGCACATGAAGAAAACAATAATTAGCATTGTTGTCTGGGGAAAGATAAATGATAAGTGGAAAAAAGAGATAAATCTCTCGAAGCTTCTCATTAGTAAGCCTATACAGCTTTCCCTTTCAGCGTGGCACAAAACACAAAAACTGGATCGCACGAGGACTTGACTCGAAGGTTCAGGAGAAACTTAATCAGGGCTCATCCTGGGCATGTCGCTAGTCTATCCCAGAGCGACAGAAAATCACACACTCTGAACTCTACACCTATGGTTAGTTTACAATCACCAACTAATCTAACCTACACATTTTAGGACATGTGTTATGATGTGAGCCTTAATCAGTTCACAAATTCCCTAGTCATTGAATCAGTGCTTGAAAACACATGAAAATTTTTTTGCTTGTCCCTTTTTTGCTTTCCTGGCTTCATTCTACTTGGACACCCTGTCAAAGTCAACAATTTGTCCTGGATTTTTCAACTCATTTTCTCTCTCCAAGCTCATCCTCTTGACCTTTGCACTCGTTAATTGACAATGATGTTTTGAAATAGTTTCCCTCTATCAGACCTTTCGATAAACGGTGCCAGAAAGTGGACACCTCGGCTATTATGCTCCGTGTAAACGATAAGGCCACGGTAACAATGGGAGTGCTCTTCTCTGGAGATGGTCCAGCATGCCGCACACACGTTTGTTTTCAGATCTTAATGAGGACATTGAATAGATACAATGCCTCGATTTCACTAACACGAACACTAACCCCCCAGAAATGAATGCTTAACCTTAAACTGAACTATAACCTAATTGTAACCCTAAACTCAAAACAACATTTTGAGCCTCAAAACATGCCTTCAAATTCACAAGGACTGGCATTTGGTCCTCATATTTATTGGTGGTCCCCACAAGTATAATGACAGTTCTTGGTCCTCATAAAGATATTTAAACAAGTACAAACACACACACACACACACACACATAGGGAACATGTTTCTTCGAGCCTTTTGCAACTCGGTATATCCATCCATAAATGAGGTAATTAAAAAAATACAATGTAAATTTAAACTTTTATGCAATCACACTGTTAATGAAAGATGGCTAAAGCGAGCACCTGTGTTTAGTTTGTTTCATCTTTACCTTTCTTTTATCTACTTCTTTGCTCGTCTTTGATGCAAAACTTGCATTTACATGACTAAACAAGCACCTGACCTCATTTGTAATGGAGACTAAACCACTCAATATTCAGTGTGTTCCTTTGTTTATTCTTTGACATGATGAGCAAGACAGAGTGCAAATCTTAACAAATCTTTTCATGCAGTGCGTTCCTCTTCCAAATCTGTGAAATGTGTAACAAGGAAAGATCAAACTCCATTGAATCGTCTCTAACTGTAAAAATGACTCATGATTTTTATGAGTGTCAGAAAGAAAAATAATTTTGAAGCCCATTGCTGGTACATTCTTCAATAGTGAGCAACATGTCAACATGGTTTTTCTCAATAAGGCAAAGGAGCAGATGAGAAGCCATCCACAAAAACTGACCAAGTAACCCATTCCTGATCTCGGTGTGTCAAATACTATGTTTTTTTTTTTTCAAAGCTGCTGGGGTTTTGCAAATGTAGAAACGGTGTCCTGGGAATACAGTACACTGGGTTACTAACTGGTCTCATAGCTAACCAGATTTAGCTGCTGAAGCGTGAGAGTTTTACTTCCTTCTTTTTACTTCCTGATTGACAAAAGGCTCTCTTTCAATCATCTTGTACTGAACTTTTAGGGAGTGGAAATGCTAAAGGAAAGGGATGTACTTCATTTATAACACAAGAAAAAAGTGCTTGAAAAGTGAGTACAACAAGAGTTCAACAAACAGTTTTTGTTGCATTAACCGTACCAAGGATTTTGTGGTACTTTAAACCTTGCCAATTATTTGTGATGCCTCAACATAATGACTGAATAAGAGTAAAGATAAAAAGCAAGTGAAAACTAATAAGAGTGTGAAAACATAGCCTCTAATTGGGCATGAACACTGGGCTCTAGGCTGAAAGCTTAAACAACGTCAAAGATTAACTGGAAGATGGCAAAAGCCATGGTTCAAAGCAGCCCAGTTCATACATGAGAGATAATGCTCAGCAAGTGCAAAAGTAAAGTAAAGCTGACCAGTTTGCATGACAACATGGGATTACAAAATGAAACAGGAATCAACGAGCACCAAAGAGGTCATAGATTAAAATTAAGATCCATGATTGACATTAAAGGCTAAGTTTTCCTGTCAGTGTTAAAATTTCTGCCTCTGAAAAGAAACCGTAATCTTGAGGTGTTTGAATATCTGTGCTAAAGCTCATAGAACGGTTAGTAAATGTGATTTAAGCAGTTAAACAATTAAATTCAATCATCTATGACATTCCCAATGTCGTTTCCTTTCTGCAGAGATTTAGGTCTTCACCACATCTCTAATAATTAATGTTCATGTCCAGGATCACTTGTTGATGTGGCCGCTGTGGCTAAGGTGAGAGCACTAACGTTTAGCTCACCTAAATCCGGGACATCGGACCTCTCATTAATATGGATTCCTTCGTCTGCCTCGTGTAATTTAATGATGACAGGTGATATGGCAGCAATGATGTGGACTGACGTCAGGCCCCGCTCATTGTCAGAGTGCTGTGCTGTCTGTGAAAACCTCTGCGGTATTCTCTGCTTAACTGCAGTTTGTCTGCACGTCTGATAGCCGAGAGGAGACGTGATTAAGCTTCCTATGTGGCAGCTGAGATACATGCCATCCATCCTGCAACAGTCCTCCGGGCTCCTGATGAATAGGCAGATTGATAGGCAGATAGAAAACAGACAACAGGCACATCATTGAAAACTTATGCCAGTGCACCGTCAAGGTCAAAGAATTGCTTCACCTTCAGTGTCGTAGAAGGATTACAGATTATAGTTACCATTCCAACCTTGGGCCAGCATTTCAATTTGAGGTTAACATATCAGGATACAAAGTCAAATGAACATGACACAAAACTACTAATGAGAAATAAAATGTATTTGCAGTGATATATAATTCCTGAAATGCACAAGGAAAGAAAGACAAAGTGTTTCAAAGAGATATGGAAATGCAAGATACACAAAGAAGTAACTTTGACTTTAGTGGCTCTTGTTCCGCCGGTACCATCGGGGCCTTTTACCGTTGTCTTGTTGAGGTATAATGCAAGATTACAGTACAGTATAAGATAATAATAATTGCAGAAAGTTGCTTCTTTTCATCTGGACGCAGTGCTCTCTCTAGGAGAAACATTTCATTGCTCATATTTCAGTCTTAGATAAACTTTTCCCCTGCAGATGAACAAATTGAACTTTCTGGGACAAGATAATAACTAGCTCAATTTTAAAAAGCTGTTAATGCTAAAATGCCACCCATCAGTCTATTATCTGCTGCTTATCTGGTCTGGGTCACAGGGGCAGCAGTCTAAGCAGGGATGTCCAGACCTCCCTCGCACGAGTCACCATCTCCAGCCCAAAACACCTCACCAAGGAGCTGCCATAGTCAGATTCCAACTCGATCCTTTAAAGCAGCTCTACAAATTACCTACTCCTTGTGATCTCACTCTTTTGGCCACCAACTACAGTTTGTAGCCGTAAGCAAGAGTAGGAACGTTGATCAGCCAGCAAATCAGTAGCTTTGTCTACATCTTCAGTTCTGTACCAAGCTCTAGAAAATTACTGCTTTGGAAAATGGACCAATTTTTATTACTTCCAGCTTCCCAAATGCCATGATTTGCTGCTTATATCAATTTTATGTGAATACCAATAGCGTCTCATCTATATTTATTATGTTTTAGACTGTTGGATGGATTTTTAAAAAGCATTTTGAAGATGAGATCTTTGTCTTCCAGTTAGTTTATAGACTAAATAAATCAATAAAATCAGTAATTGCAATGCTAGGTACTTGTAACCCATGAATTAACTACATTTAGTTAGTATTCACTGAGATCTTTAAATAAAGGAATGACTTTGTAGCTTGCTGTTGTCAGCACAAATTTTTTTTAAAGCCCTGTAGGTTGAATTATAAAGAGATCACTCATTGTTTGGCTATTTGGGCCCTCAGATGTTTACTTTACTCTTTTTGTTGTGGTGCTATTGTTGAGCTATGCTGTACCTTTTTCTTAGGACTGCAGGTAATGACACTGCAAGTTAGCATCATTATTTTCCATCTAATAAGGAGCTATTTCTTTACCCCAAATTACACAACACAGTGGGTAAACATCCCTTTCCCTGAGAAAATAAATATTACACTGTAAGCCTCATTGTGTGCTTCCACTTGCAGTAACCTACCATTTGAAATGTGTGTTAAAAACTATTTTTGTTGCATTAATTGTGAATGGTAGTCTTAACATTTTCTCGCACGTGTTACACATTTTAAACAGGCTGATTTTATAGGCTGATTTGCTTTTAAATTACAAGTTAGGGAAATCAGTGTAGTTATAAAAGAGCAAGAGATCACTACAAAAAGCTATAATGGAAATTTCCTGTCTACCAGAAAATGTCAAGGATGTTTTTTATGCATGCAGTTAAGAGTGAAGATGGAAAATTGCTCATAAAAAGTTGAATGATGCATGTGTAGATGATATCTTTTACCATAGAGAGTAACAGCGTCTGTGTTTACAAACAGGGTTCGTATGCAAAGAGACGCCATTTCAGTCCACTTCCATCCCCCAGTGTCACTGATTGACATCTTAGAGCTTTTTATTTTTTATGCACTTCTGGCATCTCCCAAAGAAAGACCCAAATTAAGGGTTATTGTTGTTGCCAAGGCAACCTACTGGGTAATTTTCTGTAATTTTCCGGGAGGGATTGCTATTGACGGTGAAGTCCATATCAAGATGCTGTATGCTGCAAGGAAACACCTACAAACACAAAAGTCTATTTTTCGGGGGAGGAGGTGTTCTGCCGCAGTGAGGAATGTCCCATAAACGGTGTATAATTTCTAATATAAATCTTGGCTTTGTCTGAATGCATACGATTATTTGCTTTATTTGAGCCCGCTTAGTCATCACCGCATAGATTAAACCCTGCATACAAAATGTACATTCTCTCCCGCTAAGCTGCCTGAGAAAGATAAGCCTCTAAAGATTGATAGAATTACTTCCAACATCATCCCCCTGTTTTCTCGCTGTGAAATCTTATGATCAAAACGCTTCACCCCGTGCTGTTTCCACATGAAAATTCGGCATATCTTTCCCAGAGTTTGACACATTGTATAAGCAGAGTGTGTGCTGACTCATGGTGAGTTTTTGCTCATTGTCCTCTTTCCTTT